CTCTCTCTCTCTCTATATATATATATATATATATATATATATCTCCTACCGGTTCTGTTTCTCTGGAGAAGCCTGACTAATACATGGACTCGGTAGGACAAGAGCAGATGTGGGGAACCATCTTCTGTAGTTAGGAGCTACACAGGTGCCCAGGGCTCAGTGCATTTGGAGCTTGCCTTCCCTCAGCTCCTGGTCCCCCTGGGGCTCCGAGTTGGAAAGGCAAAGTGATGACTAGCATCTTCCTGTGCAAGAGCAAAGGCCCTCTGAGGCCCAGCAACAACCAGCAGCACAGTGGGTTCCCTGGATTCTGCTTCTCTCTGACGCTGTGTTGATTTGGTTCTTATTATTTCTAAATCCAATTCTTCTCAGGGACTGGAAAAGGTTTGCCCCTTGTGATCAAGCTTAAAGTCTCAGTGCTGAAGCAACAGGAGATTCTCAGAGGAAAGAGACAACTCACAGGTGTGTCATGGTGCCAGCGGCTCTGAGGGACCTCCCACCCCAGAATCATCTGGAACGCATATGAGTTACCCATCCCCGTTACCCAAGCACTCCTCCGATGCAGTGATTACCTTGGTACATGGCAGGAGAGATGGGCCAGCTGATGCCCAGGGCCTCGTCCTCTCGGAACGTCTGGCAGAAGTCCCTCAGCATGGCCAGGCCCAGGCCCTGGCGGCGATGGCTCCTCCGGACAAACACGGTGTCTAAGACAGGCAGCAGGTAGCACAGACCCGTGCCATCACCACACAGGCTGCCTGAGGGGAAAGCAAGAGACACGTGCTGTCCCCTGGGCTGGACTAGCCTGCCAGGACCCGGCGGGACTCCCACTTGCCAGGTCACTGGTACCATCCGGAAGCAGTGCAGCCTCTCACAAACTAAACCACTACAGACCAAACAGCAGATCACCCTAAACCACCAGCTCTCCAGCTTACTGGGCAGCCCACACATTGTCAATTACTGTGAGCAAGGCCACTAGGCTATTGCCCTGAAATGAAATGCAAACCCAGGTGACTGAGCAGAGTGAGGCCGTCGCGCACCCATACTCCTCACACCCCTCCCTCACTGTGCACAGTTCAGAGACCCCCAAAACGAAGGAGGAACATCTGGGCAACATCAAAGTTCTCCGTGATGTGGGCTTGGAGACCCAGCCAACGCATCTCCATGGCATGGACTTGTTCAGGGTTCACCATGGCCAATTATGGCAAGTACACCTGACCCAAACAGACTAAGTCCTGTTTCCCATAGAATATCAATGACCCTGCTATTGCAGAGCAAGAAAGGCTACAGCTGGCACCTCTCCCACTTTTCTACCCTGAATTTAACTTTACTACAACCAGCACTAACAGCAGCAAAGTTGCTGCTTCTGCAACAGGAACCTACCCTTGCAGTCAGTCACCTCTGTTGTCACCCTAGCTAGAAATGCCACACACACCCAACTATATCACCTTCCTCACTTCCCAGCTGCACAGTTGCCTGTGCTCTAGATGCACTGGAATCCAGGAAAAGAAATATGTCGCATAGTCAGCTCCTATTGGAAGAGGTGGTATTTGTGTCTGCAAAGATTTAAAGGTGAGTAATTTCCCAAACAAACAAAAAAATGATTCTGAGTCTAATTAGCCAGGCTGAATTGCAGAGCTACAGGCTACTGTAGTGAACTGTTTGAAAAATGGCCACAGTTATTCCCTTTCCTATATCCACACACCTTTGCATGTGATTTTGAATGTCCTCCCATCAAGATATGGGGTCTACTTCCTCTCCCCTTCAATCTTGCTGGCCTGGTGACTCACTTTGAGCAACAGAATGAAGCTGGCAAGAGCACACCAGACTTTTCAACAAACTGTGGTGGAATGATTGGACATCCATAAGCCAAAAATTAATTAATTAATTAAAAATGAACAAATTAATGAATGAAGCTGCAACAGAACAGAGCCCAGAATGAGACCCACACAAACACAGTCAACTTATCTCTGACAAAGGATCAAAGCAAAGTGAATAGAGGAAGGACAGTCTTTTCAACAAGTGATGCTGGGACAGTTGGACATCGACATGCAAAACCATGAATCTAGACACAGACCTTAAACCCTTCACAAAATGTAGCTCAAAATGGATCACAGACACAAATGTACAATGCAAAACTACAGAACTAGAAGATAACATAGGAGAAAATCTAGATGACCTTGGGTTTGGCAATAAACTTGTACATACAGCATCAAAGGCATGACCCATGAAAGAAAAAATTGAGAGTTGAATTTCATTAAAATCAAATTTTTCTGCTCTGTGAAGAACACTGTCAAGAGAATGAGAAGCCACAAACTGGGGGAAAAATACATTCAAAAGACATATCTGATAAAGAACTATTATCCAAAATATACAAAGAGCTCATAAAGCTCAACAATAAAAAAACAAACAACTTGATTAAAAAGTGGGCCAAAGACCTTAATAGACACCTCACCAAAGAAGCTGTACAGATGACAAGTAACATAAGAAGATGTGCCACATCATATATCATCAGGGAAATAAAAATTTTTTAAAAGTGAGATACTACCATACACCTATTAGAATGGCCAAAATCCAGAACACTGAAAACACCAAAGTGCTGTTGAAGATGTGGAGCAAAAGGAACTCTCTTTCATTGTTGGTGGGAATGCAAAATGGTACAGCCACTCTGGATGACAGCTTAGTGGTTTCTTTTCTTTTTTTTTTTTTTTTTAATTTTTGGCTGCATGGAGTCTTCATTGCTGCATGCAGGCTTTCTCTAGTTGTGGCGAGCGGGGGCTACTCTTTGTTGTGGTGCACGGGGCTTCTCATTGCAGTGGCTTCTCTTGTTGTGGAGCATGGGCTCTAGGCGCACGGGCTTCAGCAGTTGTGGCACACAGGCTAAGAAGTTGTGGCTCACAGGCTCTAGAGAGCAGGCTCAGTAGTTGTGGTGCATGGGCTTAGCTGCTCCGCAGCATGTGGTATCTTCCCCAACCAGGGATCAAACTCGTGTCCCCTGAATTGGCATTCTTAACCACTGCGCCACCAGGGAAGTCCCAGCTTGGTGGTTTCTTACAGAACTAAACCTACTCTTACCATAGGATCCGGCAATTGTGCTCATTTATATTTACCTGAAGGAGTTGAAAACTTATGTCTACTCAAAAACCGGCACACAAATGTTTGTAATGCCTGTATTCATAATTACCAAAACTTGGAAGCAACCAATATATGCTTCAATGGGAGAGTGGATAAATAAATTATGGTACATCCAGATAATGGAATACTAGTCAGTGTTAAAAGGAAATGAGCTATCGTGCCATAAAAGGATATAGAGAAACCTTACAGCACATTACTAAGTAAAAGAAGCCAATCCACAAAGGCTACATAGCATACAATTACAATTCTATCTTCTGGAAAAGGCAAAACTACGAAGGCAGTAAAAATATTAGTGGTTGCCAAGGGGTAGGGGAGAGCAAGGGATGAATAGGTGGAACACAGGATTTTTAGGGCAGTGAAGCTACTCTGTATGATGGTACAATGATAGAACATGTCTTTATACATTTGTCGAAACCCACAAAACATACAACACAAAGAATGAACCCTAATGTAAACTATGGACTTTAGTTAATAATAATGTATTCTTATGGACTGAATTGTGTCTCCCCAAACCCTCAGTACATCAGAATGTGTCTGTATTTGGAGACAGGGCCTTTAAGAGGTGATGAACTCAAAATGAGGTCTTTAGATGGGCTCTAATCCAATCCAGTTGGTGTCCTTATAAGAAGAGGAAATTTGGACACACAGAGGGACACCAAGAATGCACACAACACACAGGAAAACCGTGAGAGGACACACTGAGCAGACGGCCAAACTTGCCTACACCCTGACCTTGGAATTCCAGCCTCCAGAACCGTGTGAAAATTAATTTCTGTTGTTTAAGCCACCCAATGTGTGGTGCTCTGTTACGGGAGCCCTAGTCAACTAATACATGCATCAATATTGGTTTATGAATTATAATAAATGTACCACACTAATGCAATATATTAATAATAGAGGAAACTGTGTGTGTGGAGGGGGATGAGAACTCTCTGCGCTTTCTGCTCAATTTTTCTATAAACCTAAAACTGCTTTAAAAGGTAAAATCTGCTAATTTTTTAATGTATAAGATATTTTTAAAAATGAAGCTGGACCCTTACTTCACATCATTTAAAAAATTAATTCAAGATGTATCTAGACATAAATATAAGAGTTAAAACTGTAAAGCTTTTAGAAGAAAACACAGAAGGAAATCTTCACAACCTTGGGTTAGGCAAAGAGTTCTTAGCTTTGACATCAATGGACACAACCAACTGGTAAATCTGACTTCATCAAAATTAACTTGGTACTTCAAAAGACACCACAAAAAAAAATAAAAAGACAAGCCACAGACTGTAAGAAAATGTTGCAAATCACATTCCTGATAAAAGACATATCCAGACTATATAAAGAACTCTTATAATTCAACAAAAAGAAAACCAACAACCAATTAAAAACGGACAGATGATCTGAACAGACATTTCTTCAAAGAAGACACACAAATGGTTAATAATCAGTGAAAAGATACTCAATTTAAAAATGCAAATTAAAACCACAATGAAATGCCACTTTTGACCTACTAAATGGCTATAATCAAAAAGACAAGCGCTGACAAGATGTGGAGAAATTGGAACCCTCATATATTGCTGCTGGGAATACATAATGGTACAGAAACTTTGTCAAATAATTTGGCAGTTTCTTGAGAAGTTAAAACATATGCTAACCAAAGACCCACCAGTTCTGCTCCTAGGAACCCACTTAAGAGAAACAAAAACATGTCCATACAAAGACATGTATGCAAGCATTTATACCAGCACTATTCATAACAGCCAAAAACTGGAAACCATACTGGTAAATGCATAAACAAAATGTGGTACAGTCATACCATGGAACATTACTCAGCAATAAAAAGGAATAAAATACTAATATATGCTGTAATTTGGATGAACCTCAAAAACACCAAGCTGAGTGAAAGAAGCCAGACACAGAAGACCACATACTGTATCTTTCCATTTATATGAAACATCCAGGAAAGGCAAATTGATGGAGACAGAGAGCAGAGCAGTCGTTCTCTAGAGCTGAGATGGAAAGAGACTGACACCAAAAAAAGGCAACTTTTTGGGGTGATGGAAATATCTAAAATCTGGATTGTGGTGCTGGTCATACAACTCTCTAAATTTGCTGAAAAACAAGTCACTGAATGGTACACTTAAAATTGGCAACTTTTATGGGATGTAAAATTATACTTCAAAAAAACTGATTTGAAAAGATACAATGAATTGTATTAAATTGTATTAGAAAGATACAATTAAATAAGGAAAGGGAAAAATAATAACTTTATAGTATAGAAAGGGGGTAGACACCCCCTTGAGTGATCAGGGTGAATATCACCAGTAGTAACGTTGGCATCTTGTACCCCACACCTGATATGACCACGTGAGGAGAAGCATGCTTCACTGTGCCCCAAACCCATAACCCTGGTAAATAATGAGATAATATCATACAAATCTAAATTAATGGACATTCCATAAATCTCCTGACCAGTACTCCTCAAAAGTGTCTAGGTCATGAAAGACAAGGAAAACCAAGAAATGGTCCCAAATTGGTAGGGGAGGCTAAGAAGACCTGAAGATTAAAGACAACAAAGACTCCTGATCAGATCCTACAAGAGAAGGACACTGCTGGAAGATCAGCCAGTGTTAGT